ACCCGAGCCTGAAAAGAATATGAGTAGCTGAGTAGCCTGTAAACCCTAAACCCCAAACTCTAAACCCTAAGCCCCAAACCCTAGACCCTATAGCAATCCTTGTAGTGCCTCTAAAGTACTTAGAAGGAACCTCCGATCTGGGTATCGGGACGGGCAAAGCTCCCATGAGGCACTCGCGAATTCCTCCTTTGACTCATCGAAACATCACATCTCGGGTTTATGGAGTTTAGGTTTATTCTCTCTATGTTTTTTAAGTAATTTTCTTTATTTATTATTATTTACATATATATATATATANNTTTTTTTTTTTGGGGGGGGGGTTGTGGCCTTTTTAGGTGTGCCTTTTCGAAACCCTTGAAAGAACTGAAGAAAATAGAACGCCCCGAAGATGGTGTCTTAGCATACCGTCCCTGGAGATAGTTTTTTTCCATGGTTTCTATCTTTGGGATCCTTCAAGCGGTTTTGGTTTAGGTTTGGAGTTTGGAGTGGTTCTGATGGTGCAATCCGAAAGAGGAGTTTGAGGGAGATTCGGGCCAAAGTCATTTAGGATTTGCATGAAGTGCTTGGGTTTGGGCGTGCAGGGCTAAGGGTTAAGGGGCCTTTGAGTGCCTGTTGCGAGGGTTCAGGAGAAAAGCTGCAATCACTCTGCATAAGTTACCCGAAACCCTAAACCCCGAAAACCTGGAAACCCCGAAACCCTAAACCCTAGACTCCACAAAAGTCTGTTTAGAAGCCCAGATCATCGTCAGACAGGTGCAGCTACACTAGCGATATGGGTAATTCTCTAAACTTGGGGCCCCTTTTAGAGTCCTTTGTATACGGGTGCCGTACTATCTTTTGGGACTTTAAAAAGGATTCAATTTAGAGAACTACCTGTATATATGGGCTACTCTCGTGCGTTTCGGGTCGCATACCTAAATCCTAAACCCTAAACCCTGTGGTAGCTCAGTCTTAGATGCCACATCTCTGCCAAAGCTCGCCGGCCTTCAACCCTACACCCTCATCGACCTTTTCAGGGTTTAGGGTTTAGGGTTTAGGGCTAAACTCTAGTTCATAAGCCCTCCTCCGCAGACGCCACGCATCCGGAACCCTTGCATGGGGCTGGCCCTCAGGTCACAACCCGCAAGCGCTGCAGAACACGCACCTGCTGCGGGCCTACGCGGAGCTGAGTCCGCTTGTCCGACAGCTGGTGCTCTGCGTGAAGTTCTGGGCGAAGGGTCAAGGAGAAGCTTGGCTTTTTGAGGGGGGGGGTAGGGTTTAGGGTCTAAGGTTTAGGGTTTAGGGTCAAAGGGAGGGGGGGTGTCGAGCTTTGGGGCGCTTAAAGGGTCTACTGCTCAGGGTTTAAAGCGTTTCGTGCATGTTGGTTCTTGAAGAAGTGAGGAAGTTGTGGCAGAACTTACGGCCAACTCAGACAAGGTAGATTCCCTACATGTCCAGGCAGGTTTCATGTAGGATGCCAAAGAGCCGGAGGGTGTGAGCTTTGAAACCGAAACCCCGAACCCGCCCCTGCACCACCTCAATCGCCACCAGTAGGAAGCATTCGCCCAAAACCCTCTCTACCAATATATATTCAAAGCTTGAAGTGCTTTTTCAAACATTTACCCCCAATGTTGAGTCACTCTTTGAAACATATGGACCAGTGTTGAGCCATTTTTTCAACATCAGGACCAGTGTTGAGGCACTTTTTTCAAACATCTGCAGCAGTGTTGAGGCACTTTTTCATACATCTCAACGGGTGTTGAGTCACTTTTCAAACATCCGGGCCAGTGTTGAGGCACCTGTTCAAAAATGTACCTCCCAATGATCAGGGTTTAGGATTTGAGGCTCTGGGTTGTGGGCTGGCTTTAGGGTTGAGGATTTAAGGCTCAGGGCTGTGGGCTGGCTTTAGGGTTTAAGATTTAAGGATTTGGGCTGGCTTTCGGGTTTAGGATTTAGGGCTCAGGAGAACTCATGTATGTGAATGGAAGAACTTTTTTATTTTCCAATGTCATGGGATTGTAAGGGTGGGTGGGTGTCAACTAAAGAGGCTGGTGCACTTAAGAAAAACCCCCCAACCCTCTCCTCTGAGGTCTGTGGTGCTCCGAAGGGGTACCTCTCGTCCTACAGTTTTTCCCTGATGGTCATCTATTTCCTGCAAGTGGATCAGCAACTGCCCTGCTTGCCCGTGGAGGAGCAACGCAACGCAACGAGCCCTAGGTTCTCAGCCCTCTAGCCTAAACCCTAAGTTATCACCACTAAACCCTAAACCCTGAAATCCTAAACCCTGAAACCCTGAACCCTAAACCCTAAACCCTGAAACCCTGAACCCTAAACCCTAAACCTTAGCCCCTAAACCCTAAACCCTAAAGCATAGCCCCTAAACCCCCCAAAACCCCCCAAAACCCCCTAAAGCCCTAAAGATGCAAAGAGTGGGAGGATTTCGCGCCCTGGGGCCCGGTAAGACCCCTTCACTATGAATGGATCTGCCGCACTCCGCTCTCGGAGTTGCTATTCCGCTTCTTGGTGGTTTAGGGTTCAGGGCTTGGGGTTTAGGGCTTTGGGTTCAGGGGCTATGCTTTAGGGTTTAGGGTTTAGGGGCTATGGTTTAGGGTTTAGGGTTTAGGGGCTCTGGTTTAGGGCTTAGGGTACTGGGATAGGTCTTTTTATCCTGGTTGGGTGTAGGGTTTCGGGCCGTTTCGGGGTTCGGGGTTTATAGTAGGATCCTATATACTACTTATTTCTTAGTATAACCCTAAACCCTAAACCCCAACTCCTAAACCCTAAACCCTAAACTCAAACCCCTAAACCCAAAACCCCTAAAGCCTAAACCCTAAACCCGTAAAGTCCGCTCCATTGCACCTTAAAGAAAACCCTAAACCCTAAATCCTAACCCCTAAACCCTGAACCCTAAACCCTAAAAGAGCTAGTAATTAGTCATTTCTCAGAGGCTTCAAAAAAGGGGAACCCAGAGAGCCCAATACCCCTAAATTAAGGAATAGGGCCTTAATACTATGATTTAAGGTATACAATCCTTAATTTCCCTTATAGAAACCCTTATAGATCCCTTTAAGGAACCCTTTTAAGGAATTAAGGTCTATTCCTTAATCAAGGGTATTGGGCTCTCTGGGAAGCCGAGGCTTCTTCTCCTTCTACGCGCAAGCCTTCTCCTGGGGCGCTGAGGCTCAGAGCCGGTCGCAGAGAGTTCAGGGTTTAAGGGTTTAGTGTTTAGTGGATCGATCGGTTTTAGGGTTTTAAGGTTTAGGGCTTAGGGTTTAGGGTTTTAGGGTTGAGGGTTTTAGGGTTGAGGACTTTAAGGGTTTTAGGGTTTTAGGGTTGAAGGGTTTAGGGTGCAGGGTTCAGGGTTTAAGGTTTTAGGGTTGAGGGTTTTAGGGTTTAGGGTTTGAGGGTTGAGGGTTCTTAGGGTTGAGGGTAGAGGGCATGAAACTCCCTAAACCACTGGTAAACCCTAGGCCCTTAGCCCGACAGCCCTAGACTCGGAACTAAACAAACCCTGAACCCCAAACTCGGGTGGTTTAGGGATCGCCAGGGCGTGGGCTCAGGGTTCCGGGTTTGTGCTTCTTTTCGGGTTGAGGGTTTTGGTGTTTGGGGGTATAGGATTTAGAGTTTATGCTTTTCGGGTTGAGGGGTTGGGGTTTTGGCAGGGTGTTAGGGCTTTCAGTAGGGTTCTAGGCTTATGTAGGGCTTAAGGGGTTCTAGGCTTATGTAGGGTTTGTAGCAGGGTTCTAGGCTCATGTAGGGTTTAAGGTTTTAGAGATTAGCCAGTTCCTGGGAAACTTCGTCGGGCCGTCGGGGAGGGAGAAATGGAGGTGTCTGTAGTACTGTTGATGACAAAAATCCTGCATTACCTTAAGGACCCTAAACTATGGGAATTATGGTATATTCCCCTTAAGGGCCCTAAACTATGGGGAATTATGGTCTATTCCTTAGTGTGGGCAATGCAGGATGTATATCATCAACCGTATGGGTCAGAAAGCAAGCGAGCATAGGCCCCGAGCCTCCTGCAGAACCCTGAACATCTCGAAACACCCTGGTCGCAGCCTAGATCCCTGTGCCCAAAAGTCAACTCGAAACCCTATTTCCTAAACCCTAAGCCCTAAAGCCCTAAGCCCTAAAGCCTAAACCCTAAACTTTGAAGCCCCCCTGAAGCCCTAGCCTTAAAGCCTAAACCCCAACCCACAGCCCCCACGACGAACTCCGACGCCGAAAGACCCAAGGAGCCCTGTATAAGCATCCCCCGAACTCTACCATGCAGGTAGTATCAACCCTAAACCTTAAACCCTAATACATGCAGGCAGTATCGATTCGAAAACCCTAAGCCCCAAACCCTAAGCCCTGAACCCTAAACCCTAAACCCCTAAACCCTAAACCCTAAGCCCTAAACGCGAATGCTTGCAGGTAGTATCGATTCGAGTCGGCCGTCGGAAGCTGGGTTCGGACACGGATTTCATGAACCTCCCGGGCCGGCAAGCGCAGCGGCTGCACGTGGAAGACCCCTTCCTGCCTCGGAATCTGAACTGTGTCCTCTCCACCGACAAGGAGGAGTTGAGGGGGGGGCCGGGTTTTGGGAAGTTCAGGGGCTGAGGGTCCCTAAACCTTTCGGTTTAGCCTTCGGGCCTTCGAATTTGGTGGTGACGGGGCGTCGGCTTGGGGCCGTGATTGCAGCCAGAACCTGAAAGCCCTGGGTTCCCAAGATTGAACCCCAAAAGCTAAAACTATATAAACCCAAATGGTAGGGTTTAGGGTTTAGGGTTTAGGGTTTAGGGTACCTTCTGCAGACCACTTACAAAAACCATGCAACGCCTCATCATACACCCGCACAAGCACCCGCTAAACCCTACACACCTACTCCCCAAACAACTTTGAGCCTGGGTTTCACAAGATGACGATTCAGGGTTCTGCGGGTTTGGTTTGGGGGTTAGGGTTTAGGGTTTAGGGTTTAGGGGTTCGGGTGTATGGTTTCAAGACTGACGGTTTCATGTCCTTCCCCGTTCTGTGGGCGGGTGATGAGGTTGCACGGTTTCGCCAATACAGGCGCTTAGATAATTCCCAATGCTGTTTTAGGCTTCCTTATTCTAAGAAAACTAAGCTACGCCCCAAAACCCTATTCTAATTATTAAGGCCCGTTTATTAGGATGTAGTTTTTGTCCAGCCGCGCCGGCAGGAGCATTTGAGAACCTGCATGCAGCAGGCGTTCCTCATTATCAACTCCAATGCTGTTCCGCAGGTGTTCTTGGAGGCAGGGCGGTTTAGGGTTTTGGGTTTAGGGTTTAGGGTTTTCTCAGTTTCACGAGGAATCCAGGTTCACGTGGCTCAGGATTAGGGGAAGGGGGGAGTGAGGGGGGGTTTTGGGATTGAGAATTTGGATTTCAGGGTCTGCTGCTTTAGAGTTCTAGGTCTTTGGTTCCAAACAGTGTTGTTTTCATGCCACTAGGTGTTTCTGATGCTATTGTCATCTCTGATTTTTTCCATGTGCTTCCGTCCTCTTTCAAAGTCCCACAGCGAGAAAAGCTGTATGGTATAGGAACCCACACAGAGCCCACACAGAACCGAACCGTCATAGAATCGAAGCCTTATGGCATCCCTTTTGGAGCCTTTGAATTCCCGGCGCCCCCGCGTCTCCAGCCTTAAATTTCCCCGATTTGAGCCCCCGGGCCCCAAGCCTAAATCCCTAGAACGTTGAAGCCCAAATCCTAACCCGAGGTTTCGGGTTTAGGGGTAGAGGGTTTGGGGGTTTAGGGGTTCAAGGGTTTAAGGGGTTTAAGGTTTAGGGTTTCGGTTTAGGGCCTAGGGGTCTGGGGGTTTAGGGGTTTAGGGTTTAGGGTTTAGGGGTTAGGGCTTTGGGTTTAGAGGCTGAGGGTTGTTAAGGAGGGGTCTTGGAGCAACCGTCCGAAGAGCAACCGCAGGAAGATGTCTAGTACCTAGTACCGCCATGCTCTACGCCCTCATTTTCAAAGGGCAGCGGCCTTACCCTAAACCCTAAACCCCTACACCCTAAACCGTCGAAACGTGTCCAGCCCGACTGTTTTTGTTCTAGTCAACCTGTTGTGCTCCGGCCAAGATATAGAAACCCTAAACTTTAAACCATTCGTTTCTGGTCCTAAACCCTAAACTGAAGCCCAAAACCGTAAAGCCCCAAACCCTAAACCCTAAAAGCCCCAAACCTTAGTCCTCTCGTTCATATGTACTTAAAACTCAATAGCATTTGCGATTTCGGGCTTTTCGAACACCAGCAAAGAAATTGCAAATGCCGACGAAAGCATCGCAAATGTCGACGAACTTCGCCGACATTTGCGATTTCATCGTCGGCATTTGTGCGAGTTTCGTGACCTCTTCGTCGGCATTTGCGGATTTCTTTCAGCATTAGCGATTTTGTCCTCGGCATTTGCGAAAAAGCACCAAAATCGCAAATGCTGACGAACACCACTAAGGCTTAAACACCTATGAAAGCGAGGTTTAGGGTTTAAGGTTTCGGGCTTTAGGTTTTATGGATCAGCTTGTAGCGACTGCCCAGCGGAGATGTAGAAGAAGAAGCCACCCTTCTTGAAGCTTGAGCCCGGAAAGCGCCAGCCAACATAACCGTAACCCCCGACCGGCCTTGAAGCCCTAATCCCCTACAGGACCCCCGGGGGCCCCCTTGTTAGGTGTATAGCCCTAGGCCTAGGCCCCCTTTACCCTTTACCCTAAACCCTAAACCAAGTGCTGCCCTTAGAGAGATCAAGCCAAGATATTCAGACGTGTGAGGCCGATCCCCAAAAGTGGCTGCGGCAGCCGGTCCCTGGGCAAAGAATGGTGCCAGTTTTGCAGTACGGGGGCCCTTTGACAAGTGTTTTAAGCCTCCTGTATTCAATCCATAATCCCTTGTGGTAGCCGGTATGGTACCACGTAAGGCCTCAGTTCCTGCTGTTTTGGCCTCTCCAAGTTTCATCAGTAGCAGAAGCATGTATCGTCAGAGCATCTTGCCAAAGATGTGTCAGTTTTTTGGCTATCATAAACCCTCCCTGAACCCTAATGCCAATCAAACCCTAAACCCAAAAGCCCCCAAACCCTAAACCCTAAAGCCTAAAGCCCCTAAACCAAAAAAACCCCTAAAGCCTTTCTGGCTTCAAGTTTCAATTCTTTGCCTCTTGGGAAAAGGATTTTTGTCTCTTTAGTCCCTCGTCAAATGTTTAGGGCAAGCCCTTAACCCCAAACCCTCAACCCCTACTAGGAGTTTTGAGGGTGGAGGTTCAAGGTTCAGGGCCACAAGCGCGACACTAGCGGGATGAGACAGCGCAGTTTGATTTCGTAGTCGTTTTCGGATTGCATGTGGTTTTCAATTTTCGGAGGCCCCATTTTCGGGCTTCTAAGGGTTCCTTGCGTCCACAACCCTAAACCCTGAACGAAGAGTGTCGTGCAAACAAAGCCCTAAACCCTGAACCCTAAACCCTAAGCCCTAAGCCCTAAGCCCTAAACCCTGTACCCTAAACCCTAAACCCTAAGCCCTAAGCCCTAAACCCTAAACCCTAAGCCCTAAACGCACAAGTAAGGACACCAAGAGAGCCACCGGGCTGTGGCGGAACTCCGTTCAGCAGCACATGCTTCCAATGCCCGACTACGACATGCAGGATGGTCATAATAAAAAAACGGCCGGACTAGGGCTTGGGTTTGGGGGTTTAGGGTTTAGGGTTTGGGGGTTTAGGGTTTAGGGTTTAGGGTTCAGGGTTTTGGGGTTTAGGGTTATTTTGCAATTCCTTGTGTCGTTTTCGGTATTAAAAAAGTTGCATTCCGACAGATATACTTCCTAGCCCTGAACTCGAGAGTCTCCGGTCAAGCCCAAGATGGAGGTTTAGGGCTTAGGATTTTTAGAGTTTAGGGTTTAGGGCTTAGGACTTTTAGAGTTTAGGGTTTAGGGCTTAGGATTTTTAGAGTTTAGGGTTGAGAGAATCCTTCTGAAGACCTTGAAGACGCTTCGTAAAAGATCCTTAGCTCCAACCTCTACAATCTGAAGCCCAAACTTCACAAGCTGTTCACCTAAACCCCAAGCCACGCGTTTTTAAAAAAGGTTTAGGGTTTAGGGTTTAGGGTTTGTAGACTTCAGCCTTGAACTCCCGTCACTCCTAACCTCAAAGCCCGTGCTGATCCAGGAGATGTTGCCATACCCGGCCGTGCGGCCACAGGCCGCTTTTCCAAATGGTTACTATGAGGGTCGCTGGAAGGGTGGCCGTGCGGTTTTGGGGGGTTTAGGGTGTAGGGTTTGGGGTTTAGGGTGTTGGGTGTAGGGTGTAGCGTGTAGGGTTTAGGGTTCAGGATTTGTGCGTACTCGTGTTTGTAACACTGTTTTTTTGTTTTTCGGCTCGGGGTCTCTAGGGTTTACATGGTTCACGATAGTAGCCCCAAGCTATGGGAGTTGTGGTAAAGTCCCAGTCCTTGTATGGCGTGTAAAGTGCCTTGGTGGTGGTTTGGAATGGGGATGGCTCTAATTCGTTCGGGCTTCGGGAGGATTTCAGGGTTGAGCGTCTTGTGGTTGCGAGGGTCTGGGGTCCAGGGTTTCACTCTTTGCTCCAGTGTGCTAGCTATGTCGGCAGTTGGGCCCCGGGATGTCCGGTTTGGGATTTAGGAGCTTTGCAAAGATGATGTTCTTTATAGCGGTGATCATGGTTCTAAGTTAGTTGTTCCAAACCCCAAGTCCGAATTCCAAAGCCAGAAGCCCAGGCCCTAAATGTCGAATAACTCCTGGACCTTATAAACCCTGAAGCCCGAAACCCTGAGCCCTAAGCCCTAAACCCTAAAACCCTAAATCCTGAACCCTAAACCCTAAGCCTTAAACCCTAAAATCCTGCAGGTGCGGAGCCTTCGGCGCTTCGCGGTTGCTGCTCCAAGCCGGCGCGG